CTCCTTGGTTTTTTTGGTCACGAACAGAAGTGAGTCCAGGATGGTGAATGGTAGCGTGCATGTGGATACTCTCTAAGTCTTGAGCCTCGTGGTCACAGATCCGACACACCAACGACGCGGGTGGGATCACAGAGTGGTTCCATTTACTCCTATCTCTGTAGCATATCCCATGTCCGTCGGCAGCCCTGGTACAATGGTCGATGGCCGTCCGTCGATCTGCGAAGGTACTGCGGCACCAGGGGCACTGATTCGATCGCTGGCCTGATGTTGCGACCTTCCCTTCGGTGGCCCATTAGGGCCTGCGCCGTAGCAAATCGCTTCGCGCACACCTCCCCCACCCCGACCTCCCCCCGCACCATGCAGTCACACCAAAAGAGCTTCGTAGCCTCCTCCTCCTCCTCCCCAATGCTGTCTTCTACTGTCTTCGCATTCCACGCCAAAGCTGCACTCCTAATCGCAGTCGCATCCATGCTGATCCACTGTTTCCATGCAATCGTATCCGGGCAGAAAACCTCAAAATCAGAAGCGCGATCCTGAAACCAAGCATTAATTTCTTCCGATACCTGGGCCAACGCCCCCATGTCATCCCGAAGTTGTTTTGCCCAAGGAGTAGATTGTATCCAGGCCCATTTGTTTGCTCTAAGCCTCCGAACCCCCCGGCGTTCGCCCAGCAACGAGTTACCAAAGACAGCCGCTAATACTCCCCCGTGGTCTTGTGGAAAAAGGACCCAGTTTTTGTACCACTTTAATCGCCTCGTCCTAAGGGCAGTCGCAGTCCGTTCGATGCGCCATTCCTGAAATACTCTGGCCGTCGAGTGGCATCGAGTCTCTCCCGCGTCGGTTGTCCAACTCATTCTCCCGACGGCCAGTCTTCGAATATACTTTCCGATAATTGCATCTAGCGCGTCAGTCAGGCTGGGCGGGAGCACAGAGGCTGTCAAACCGCTCCATGCAGCCCCGGTCAGAAGGAAGATAGGGACCCAAGACTCGCATTTCCCGAAGGGCGGCACCTTTCAACATCTTGGACCTGCGCAGCTGGCGAGTAACCCCATGGCATCCTGGACCACGCAAGCACAATAGGTGGTTGGTCTTGTCCTGATTCAACCTCCAACCTCCACGCCCGATTCTGGCTTCCAGTCGTCCCGTGGCCCCGTTCAGTTGCTCCGTCACATGTGCCGTGCTCGCGCCTTGAATAACAGTATGCGTGCGCGTGATGTCATCCATGAATGAGTTCAGTGCAAGGTCGTGCTTGGTACCCGTTATTGGATTCACCGTGTCGTGCCAAGTTTGGTGTCCATCCCTCTCTTTCTCGTCCTGCACCCATTGGTCTACGTGCAAGTTATACACACCATTGAACTGTCTTGGACATAGGGTAAGTCCAATTTGTGCACCTACCGCCGTTTCTGCATGTAGCCATTCGTCTGCGCACTGCATACTCATTTGAGTGTTCGAAATAGCTCCCAAAGCAAATGGCTGGTCTGCCTCCGTCGCATGTTCCCAGGCCGTCGCTTGAAGGAGTGCACGCTTGGTGCTCGCAAATGCGTTGCTGCAGTCATAACTCGTGCGCACAATACTGACTCCTGCCTCCCCCGCCCTCCACTGCACTGCCTACAAACACAAAAGTGCATTATCGCGGCTGCGGTGGGCCAACCCCCCCTGAGCCCAGGGGGGGTGGAGAGGCTGGGGCCCCCTTTTGTGAATTCCCCAGTGCCAAGACATACTCATTGAGTCGTAAGCGCGCATAATTCGTTTGCCCCCGATGCTTAGTTGTCCATTGTTTTTGTCATCGTCGAATGAGACCGAGCGGTGCCAAGAGAGAGGTGTAACCTGCGACGTACGGCATTTCAACAGAAGCTGGTCCAGCAGTGTCTGGAATAAGTAGGGCCCTGCGCCTTCTGGTCTAGAGATCGGGGCCGCCCCTAGTCCTGCAAGAGCTGGTCTGACCACAAAGTACTACTGAACTTCGTACGCTTGCTGCTCCGCACCGTCCAGCTGCCCCCCTGACCGCCCCAGCTTTTCCCCGCTCTTCCATCCCGTCCTCTCCGCAATCCGTCGGCCAACACGGTATTTGAACAGACTGGAATGTTTGTTGTCGTCCTCCTCACCGTTCCTTTTTTGTGCTGCCCGGATACGACTGAGTTCTATCTGCCTACTGAGAAGCTCTGGGTGCTCTAAGTGTGTCGAAGGATCTAAGATCATCCAGGTAAGTTCCACGGGTACGCCCCACCGAGGCCAAGCTCTTCGTTTGGCTGCCTTCTTACAGTACTTGAGCATCTATTTTTGTCACTAAAACCACGCGCGCTTCGCGCGCGCTTAGGTTCTAGCTAGGAGGCGAGCTTGAGTCAACGAAAGTCGCAGGGAAGGGGGCAGGGGGAAGAAGGCCAGAGAGCGCTGAAGGATACAAAAACTGGAACCCTCTTGTGATTTTGTGGGGGGCCTCGTCCGGCCGCTCGCTGGGAGTTTGACGTAGCTTCTCGGGGGCCTCTGAACCTGTCGGGGGCCTCCTGGAAGCAGGTTCGAAGCATTTTGGGGGCCGATTTGGGGCTTCTCGGGGCCTCCTTTGGGCCTCTTGGGGTCTCCTGGGGCCTCTTGAGGGGCCCCTGGGCCTCTGGCGGCCTCTTGGGGCGGAAGGCTCGAGCTTGCGGTTCGTGGTCCCCCTCTGGGCCCCCTCTTGGGCCCGTCTTGGGGCCCTCTTGGGCCATCTTGGGCGCCTCTTGGGCCGTCTTGGGGCCCTCTTGGGCTGTCCTGGGGCCCTCTTGGAAGCTTCTTGGGCCGTCTTGGGGCGGTCTTGGGCGCCTCTTGGGCCGTCTTGGACGCGGTGGGGACGCGGTGAAAGCCCAAGAGGCGAACATGCGACAAATATACGTTTTCCCATCGGAATGGCACGATGTTTGCTTCTTGGGCCTCTCTTGGGCTGCCTCTCGGAGCGTCTTGGAGGCTTCTGGGACCTTCATGGTGTCATGACAGGCGTCTTGGAAGGCATCTGGAGCCATCGGAGCGCGTTCCGAATCCGCCTGCGAACGATCTTGGACGGCGCCCGGCGGCCCGACGACCCTCCGGGCCCCCCGGGGCCCACATTTGTGGTCGAGGTCCCGGTCCCGGGCCCCCGGACCCGGTGCGCCGTTATATGTATAAGCTCAACCTGGCCGAGGGTGTCGTGGTCCACTGGGAGAGGGAGTTGTTCGCCAATCCGATCGATTTGCTCTTGCTCGAAGTCCTCATGCGAGATCTCCCTAGCCCCCAGCCCTCCCTCCTCTGGCGCTTTGCCTAACTCGTGGATCCATTCAGCCTTAGGCCAGTGAGTACGAGCTGCCATGTAGTACCTCTTTTTGGGGCCGCGTCCATTCCTCTGGTACTCAATTCGAAGCTTGCGCATGGAACTGAAATCGCTTCTCTGATGGGCTTCCCAAATCTCCTCCACAAGTTTAGCTCTTCTCGCCGTCCCTGCGTCCTGTCGGATCGCTTTCAAGAGGGCAGTCATTTCTGCCAACTCGTGCTGCACTTCACATAGCACACCGTCTGTAGTGGAATCTACCATCCTCTCTCGCAACTCTCTCCGCTCTCTCAGCAGTGCCAGTCGTCGTCGTCGCACCGCCGTCGCAGCCTCGTCCGTCGAGAGCTGGCCTTGTCTGAACACCTGATCCAAAGCCTTCCTTGCCGCCCCTCCCCAAAGTCTCCACATGGCATCGGGGGTGCTCTCCTCTCTTGCCGTCTCCCACTCCTCCCTCACCTCCTCCATAGCAATCTCCAGGGTCGCGAAAAACCCGGGACGTCTCGTATCACGACGCAAGCAGTCCATGAGCTGGTCCCGATTCAAGGGCGGTTCCTTCTCTCGACGCACCGACGCAAAGCTGTTTTTCCCCGTCACATTCAGGACCAACCCAATCGGTATATGGTCTCTGTGCCCTCTACGTTTGATCAGTTGGAGGCGCTTCGCAGCCGTGCGGGGCGCTACGCATCTGTGAACTAGTCCTAGAGCAGCTGCCGGGATAGCTAGATGGTCGATGTCACTACTACAACCATTAGCCGCATAATACGTCGGGCCTACATCGTAGTAAGTAGTGACTATCGAAAAGGTTGGATCCTGCACACATCGTTCGAAACTTGGTACCATTTTCATTTTCAAGCTGGGAGTGGGCTGGGCCCGTAGTGTGCCCCCTGTTTTTTTCCACAACCCCGTCCGTTCCCCTATGTAACCCAAATTGGCTGTTGATATCCCCACCGATCACAATCGTAGATCGGGTCCCGAGTCCGTCACACTGATGTTCCAGCCAGCTAGTGACTTTATCAGCTACTGTCGGGAACTGAGCAAAGTGAATCGGCGCAGGATATACACTGAAGAAGCAAAAACCAACCTCTCGCGACCAGAGTCGCAATCCACCTACTCTTCCCTGAATGTCCGACGGGGGAACAAAGACCTGTCGCAACGCAGTGGGATGAATGTGGTGCGCCACCAAAATAGCCGCTCCACACACTTTCGTCACAAGCCTATCCTTTTTTCCCCCGAACCTGTACGCCATATGATTGGGCAGTCTCGTAGTGAACACACTTTCCACTTCCGCCCAGTGGTGAGTACCGTTTAATAGTACCACGTCCCACCCCTTCAGCTCCGAACTAATATCTTCCAATATCTCACTAAGTCCAGCCGTTTGGGGGTTGTACGTCACCACTTTCATGGAATAAGATTCAGTCGCAAGTAGATGGATGTAAGAGCATGCCCCTCCCTCCCCCCTCCCTCGGCCGAGGCGGAGCGATGGGCCGCGAAGTCTGCGTGGGGAATCTACTCTCGCCCTCCTAGCGGGTCGCAAGAGTTTTGGGCCTTCCCACGCCGACTTGAAAGGAGGAGGAGGAGGAGGAGGAGGAGGACGGGAGGAGAGGGCGAGGAGAGGGCGAGGAGGAAGGAGGGTCGAGGAAGAGGGAGGAGGAGGAGAGGGAGGGGAAAAGAGAGGAGAGAGGAAGGAGGAGCAGGAGGAGCGGCAGCAGGAGGAGACGACAGGCTCCTCGGCATCGATGCTCATCTCGGAGGTCATGCCGCTGTCCTGCGCGCAGCGCCAGCCAGCTTGGAGCATGCCAGCTCTACCCCACCCCACCCCTTGGCGGGGGAGGCAGGGTTCTGGGGGGACATCATATCCTCCACGTCCTCTGGTCCATCCTCCTTATCCTCCTCCTCCTCCTCCTCCTCCTCCTCCTCCTCCTCCTCCTCCTCCTCATCATCATCATCATCAGCATCAGCATCAACATCATCATCATCACCAACATCAACATCAGCATCATCATCATCATCATCATCATCATCATCATCATCATCATCATCATCATCATCATCATCATCATCATCATCATCATCATCATCATCATCATCATCATCATCATCATCATCTTCATCATCATCATCATCATCAGCATCATCATCATCATTACCATCATCAGAAGCATAGTCATCGTCATCATCATCAACATCAGCATCAGCATCATCATCGTCATCAACAGCATCACTATCACTATCACCATCACCATCACGATCACCATCGTCATTATCATCAGCAGCAGCAACAGCATCATCATCATCATCATCATCATCATCATCATCATCAGCATCATCATCCTCATCCTCATCCTCATCCTCGTCAGCATCATCATCATCACCACCATCATCATCATCATAATCATCATAATCATCATCAGCAGCAGCAGCATCAGCATCAGCATCGCCATCGTCATCATTTCCATCATCAACACCATCATCATCAGTACCACCCCGACCTCATGAGCATGCTCAGCATGCTCCTCGTACTTGTGCGTCCCAACTCCCTTGTCCCTCCCCCTCCTCCTTCCCAATCGTGTTCATCATCTGACTGACCCTACTTCTCAAAATCGGAGCCCTCTTCCTCTCCCCGTTCCCCCAATCCTCATTACATTCCCCCCCCTCGTCGTTATCCTCGTCCAAGTCCTGCTCGCCCTGCTCGTCCTGCTCCTCCTGCGCATCCACCCTCACGCTTCGCTCCTCCTTTCTCCGTCCAGTCTCATTCCCCATATCCTAAGATGGGGTTCTTGTTATTACTTGGACGCCTCCTACTCCTCCTTCCTCCTCCTCTTTTCTCCTCCCCTCCTGTCGGACATACTCAGACTTGCTCATACACAGACTTACTCATACTCAGACTTACTCATACTCAGACCTACTCATACTCAGACTTACTCACACTCAGACATACCTCATATACAGACTTACTCATACACAGACTTACTCATACACAGTATTAGTCATACCCAGACGTACACATACACAGACTTACTCATACACAGACTTACTCATACTCAGCACCCCTAAGGGGAGCCGCCAGGGGTGGTTGCACGGGCTCGTTCGCGGCCATTTTGTGGGGATGTCTCAGGCGGTTTGCCTGTTTCTGTGCCCAACATCCTTCGCTTTCGGAGCAGATTTGGAGGATGTCTCGAGCGAGGCGCTCATTTCAGCACCCCTAAGGGGAGCCGCCAGGGGTGGTTGCACGGGCTCGTTCGCGGCCATTTTGTGGGGATGTCTCAGGCGGTTTGCCTGTTTCTGTGCCCAACATCCTTCGCTTTCGGAGCAGATTTGGAGGATGTCTCGAGCGAGGCGCTCATTTCAGCACCCCTAAGGGGAGCCGCCAGGGGTGGTTGCACGGGCTCGTTCGCGGCCATTTTGTGGGGATGTCTCAGGCGGTTTGCCTGTTTCTGTGCCCAACATCCTTCGCTTTCGGAGCAGATTTGGAGGATGTCTCGAGCGAGGCGCTCATTTTCACCCCCCAGGTGGGCCAGATTTTGAGGATGTCTCGATCGGTTTGCTAGTTTTGGTGGCCAGGCTCGTGGGCGCAGATTCTTCTCAGGATGCCACAGGAGGCTCCAACAGGCTCCAGGAGGCTCCAGGAGACCACATGAGGTCCCAGGAGGCATCAGGAGGCCACAGAAAGACTCAAGAGGCCACAGGATGTCCCAAGAGGCTCCAGGAGGCCCCAGGAAGCTCCAGAAGGCCTCAGGAAACCACAGGAGCCCCAGGAGACAACAGGAAGCGCCAGGAGGCCTCGGAAGGCAACAGGAGGCCCCGAGAGGCCCCAGGAGCAGGAGGCCTCAGAAGGCAACAGGAGTGGCTCCAATCCCATGTGTTTTACGTATGCTCCTATCGATTGGGCCTCACCTGGAGCACGATTCTTTGATGTTCTACGTATGTTTCTATAGATGGTCCTTCTCCTGTGTACACAATCCTAAATGTTTTACTCATGTTCCTATGTATTGGGCCTCTCCTGGGGCACGAGTCCTTGGTGTTTTACGCGTGTTCCTATAGATTGCCCTTCTCCTGTGGCTCTAATCCGCAATGTTTTATGTACGTCTGTTGCTATAGATTGCGCCTCCCCTGGGGCACGAAACCTTCCTAGGAGGTCCCAGGAGGTCCCAAGAGGCTCCTGGAGACCCCAGGAAGCCCCAGTAGGTTTCAGGAGGCCCCAGGAGGCCCCAGGCTCATGCACAGAGACGCGCTCGTACTACTGAGGCTCATTCACACTCCAATTCATTCGCAGTTAGATTGATGTCCAGACCGTCACAACTGAAGCCCGTTAATATTCGAAAGCTCTTGCGCCTAGACATTCACGGCGGACAGGTCCATGCGAGTAGATGCACATATGGGGAGCTCCACGCAGTGAATAATTCCTTCTTTTTCTGTTCCCTCATCTCTCCACTTCTCCCCCCGGCTCCCCCTCTTCGTTCCTCCCCCTCCACCCCTTCCTTAGGGAAAGGTCAGGGGAACATGGGCGAGGGAGGGGAAAGTGAGGGAGGGGAGGGGAGGGAACAGCCCCCACTCCACTCCCCCACTGTCCTCGGGGGAACCGCCCCCCCCCCTCCCTCAGTTTCCTCGGGGGAGAGAGAGAGAGAGAGAGGGGGGGCTAGCCCCCCCCTCCCCGAGGGCGCGCTGGGCCCGTTGGGCGGCTCGCTCCACGCGCGGCGGGGGGTAAGGCCCCCTCGGGGGGAGGAGGGGGGCCTCGCCCGACGGCGTCCCCCCCCCTCCCCGCCTCCCCCGTTCTCCCCCCCTTCCCCCCCCCCTCCCTCGCCCCCCCTCCGCCGCCCTGGGAGGGGGCCTTGCAGGGCCTCGCCTGTCGCGGAGGCCGATCGGGGAGGGGGGGGCGAGGAGGGGGGCGGGGGGGGGGGGGAAGAACCCACTGGTCTCACGCCTGTTCGCTGCTCGCTGTGGGGAAGCAGCCGCTCGCGGTAGAAGACTCCTTACTTGGTACGGCGTGAAGCGTACCAGAGTTAGGTAGGGCATGTCCTCCTACAGGCGGATTTTGGACGAAACATAAAACATGGTCGAAAGATACTCCCCAATAGCCAGAAGTAGTAAAAGCATTGTCCCCAGACTATTGGTTTGGATTATGTTTGAAGATTCCCCCTGTAGAGGGACAGGCCCGACTTACAGTGGGGGCTCGGCCACAAGAAACCTCCGCAAGAAACCCAACCCTGAAATCCGCGATCTGTTCAGTGAAAATCCAAATTTGCCGATCGAAAATCGTCAAGATCTGATGGGGCCCCATCGAAATCCAGGACACCCAGGGCGCCCTGGCAGAATCCAACTGGCATCTTCGCGCACGCGCCCCCCGCCTGCAACACGGGAGTCTCGCCCCCTCGAGACCACCCCCTCCCTCCCTCTGCCCCTCCTGCCCCTCCTGCTCCCCGTCCCTCCGCCTTCCCGCCCCTCGGCGGCGCGCCCAGGGTCAGGTCGGGCCTGTCCCCCATCCAGGGAGGTTTTGGACGACAAATAAGAACAAGAGTCAAATACTACCCCACAGATGGCTAACACAGTGTTCAAAACATCGCCCCCGGACTATGTTTTGACTATGTTTGAATGTCCCCCTGTAGAGGGACAGACCCGACCTAAGCCCAGGGCGGAAGTGAGAAGGGACGTGCCTTCTCAGAAGGCTCGGAAGTCCCCGTGCTTTCCGAGAGGCTTTCTGAGCCTCCCCCGAAGACACAGGAAGCCTCTCAGAGGGCGCGAGGGCTTCTGAGAAGGCCTTCTCCTTCTCACTTCCCCCCTCGCTCGCCGCCGAACCTCCACACCACTCCTCATCCTATTGGTCCCCCTCCTGCTCCGCGTCCCCCTGTCTCCTCCTCGACCTCCGACTGTCCCTAAGTCTGGCCGTGCCACTGCCTTCCGTCGGCGACCAACAGGGAGAGGGCAACGCGAGGCCACGTATCGATGTCAGCGTCGACTCGTCACATCCTCCTCGCTCGGCGCCCGAAGGCTGGCATGGGGGGAACATCGATCGAATCGTTCGCACAATCGAGTCCATCGAAACAAACTCTATCATCTAAGGCGGGCAACAATTGCCCTGGAGGGGAAGAGGAGGAGGAGGAGGAGGAGGAGGAGGACGAGGAGGACGAGGAGGAACGCCTACGTAATCGAATATAGGTCACCCAGCGTTGTTCCTGGCGCTGCGCGACGCGCGCTTGCTGTCGCGCCGGGCGAATTCACCAGACGAGACGACGAAGAGCGGTGAGCCTCGGGCCCCGGGTGGCCAGGGGCAGGCATCCCGGGATCATGCTTCTCCTCCTTATCCGCCTCCTCCTCCCCCTCCTCCTCCTCCTCCTGCCGCATCGCGGGTGTCCAGTTCAGCCGAGATTTCCTGCGCCACCCTGCTGCTCATGTCGTCGGCGTCGTCGCCCTGCGCCAGGCACCGGCAGGAGCGAGCTGACAGTAGGATGGGGAAGCGGGGGTGAGGAAGACGACGCGGAAGAAGACTATGGTGACGACGATGACGACGATGAGGATGACGCAGCGCTCCGCCAAGCGGCCCCGATGAGACAAAACTCCGCCCGAACTCGGAAAGGCCGACTCGTTCTTGGAGTTCCAGCTCCAGAAGAAGTCGGTCCACCAGATCTTCCCAGACAACGGAGAACAGGGCTGGACCTAAACATTATTATTCGTTTTGGTTTCGCTTTGTGATTCGTTTTGCCCTACCTGCTTTCCTGTATCTCCCTGCCAAAACGAAAAACAAAACACAGCCGAAGTCCAGCAAAACAACGTTTAGGTCCAGCCCTAGCGGAGGATTCCAGGATCCCTCGGGAGAAAGGGTGGAAGCTCCGACAGACCAGTCCCGTCGAAACACCTTACCCTTAGCCGACCTCGTGCAAGGTGTTCGAAGACTGAGAAGCGGGGGAGGCCCAAACCCGCCTCTGAGAGTGGGCTCAAGCAACCCATGCCCCCTAAACAATGTATGCCGGTATCTCTGCGTGTTTGCTGGCCGGGCGCAGATAAATACTCAGGCCTTCTTGGCCAAGTGTATTCTGATCAGGCCACTGATGACCCAAGCTCTTTTCGTCCTGAATCCCACCAGCCCTCTGGGCGTCGGTGGTTTAGGGCGTTTCCTCTTCCACCCCTCCTTCTTCCCCTCCGGGGAGGGGTTTATCACTGTTCCCTACTATTAATATACACCCCCTCCCCCAGGCGGCTGGGAGCCAACCCTGGTCCATGCGGGCACCCCCCACCATCCTATATGAAAACCATACAAAACACACTCTGCCCCCACCATCACTTGTAAAATGCAATACAAAACACACGATGTCTCCAAACTCGAAGCATGCACAGCGAACCCGATGCGGCCTCCCCCCACAATCCCTGGCGGCGGCGGCGGCGGTGTGGCGGGGGCAGCGGCTGCGGCGGCTGCGGCGGTGGCGGCGGCGGGGGCGGCGGCGGCGGCTGTGGCGGGGGCAGCGGCTGCGGCGGCTGCGGCGGTGGCGGCGGCGGGGGCGGCGGCGGCGGCGGCGGCGGCGGCGGCGGCGGCGGCGGTGGCGGCGGCGGCGGCGGCAGCGGTGGCGGCAGCGCCTGCAGCGGCAGCGGCTGCGGCGGCGGCCATTTGGCAGCGGGGGCGGCGGCGGCGGCGGCGGCGGCAGCGCGTGGCGGCGGCAGCGGCGGACAGCGGCGGCGGCGGCGGCGGCGCGGCGCCGGCGGCGGCGGCGGGAGGCGGCGGCGGCGGAGGCGGCAGCGGTGGCGGCGGATTGGCCCCCAGTAGCTGGCCATCCAAAGACGACTGCTGCATATGCTGCGGCTCGGGTGCTACGTATGTGTTGGGAGGGCGGGTGGGAGTGAGCGAGACGGCTTGCGGGCGAGGAGGGAGACTCTTGACCCCTCCCTCTCCCCATGGACCTGGACAGGGGGTTCCGCGAGTCGTCGGAGCGTCTAAGATGGCCCAAGTTGGCTCCAAGAGGGCCTCTGAGAGCCCAAGATGGCCTCGAAGATGGCTCAAGATAGCGCAAGATGCCTCGAGATAGCTCCCAAGATGCTCCAAGATGCTCCAAGACGGCACCAAGACGGCTCCAAGTGTCCAAAAGAGCTCCCCAAGGAAGCCCCCAAGAAGCCAAAATTCTTCAAGACCCTAAGGAGAAAATACATGTTTTTGGCGTTCTCGCCTTTGCGCTTACAATGCCCATCCGAGGCTTCAACAGAGCTCCAAGATGGCCCAAGATAACCCGAAGATAAGCCCAGGAGAGCCCCAAGACGGCCCCACGAGCGCCCAAGAGCGCTCCAGAAGGGGTCCAAGAGGCGATCTTAGGGGTTGTCACAGGGGGACCCTAATTAGTGCCCCCTCTTCTTTGATAGAGATTTCCTCTAAGATGGCCCCAAGAGCGCCCCTGAAGCCCCCAAGAGCGCCTGAGGAAGGCCCCAAAAGGCGCCCAAGAGGCGCCCAAGAGGCCTCCCAGAGGCTCCCGCAAGAAGCCTCAAGAGGATCTCCTCCAGGCATTTAAGTCCCATCAGCCCTCTGGGCGTAGGTGGTTTAAGGAGTTTCCTCTTCCAACCTCTTTCTTCACCTTCGGGAAGGGGTTTACCCCTTCCCCTACCCCCTCCCCTGGACCTGGACGGGGGATTTCGCGAGGTGTCAGGGCGTCCAAGACAGCCTCGGCGAGGAAGACAACATCATTGGCTTCACTAAGGTTTTGGCCCCATTTTGGCCTTCTGAGGGGGGGACCCTAATTAGGGATCCCCCCTCCTGTGATCGATCTCACCCAAGATGGCCCAAAGATGGCCGCCAAGGCTCCCAATGGTGCCCCAAGAGGGCCCCAAGAGGTGGCCAGGAAGCCCCAAGAGGCCCCCAGGATGCCCCCAAGAGGCCAAGAGGCTCCCAAGGGACCTCCAAGAGGCCCCAAGAGACCCCCCAGAGGCACCCAAGATGCTCCAAGAGGCCTCGGCGGAAATGCCAAATCATTGATTTTACTAAGGTTTTAGCCACATGTTGGTCTCTTGGGGGGCACTGATTAAGATGACTACGAGAGCGCCTGGGAGAGCCCAAGATGACCTCCAAGATCGCTCAAGATATCCCAAGACGTCTCAGAATGGCTCCTACGATGCTCCAAGATGTCCCAAGACCGCTCCAAGACGGCTCCAAGTGGCCAAAGAGCTCCCCCAGGAGGCCCCGACGAGACCAAAACCTTAGGAACATCTATGTTTTTGGCGTTCTCGCCTTTTCGCTTCCGATGGCCATCCGAGGCCTCAAGATGGCTCCAAGATGGCCCACGAGGGCCCCAAGAGAGGCTCAAGAGAGCCCCAAGACGGCCCCAAGAGCGCTCCAAGAGCGCCCCAAGAGCGCCCCAAGAGGCGATGTTTGGGGCTCCCGAGGGGCAACGCTAACTAATGCTCGCTGCTTGTTTGATCGATGTCCTCCAAGATGGCCCCAAGAGCGCTCCCAAGGCTCCCAAGAGCGCTTCAAGAGGGCCCCAAGAGGCGCCCAGGAGGCCCCAACAGGCGCCCAAGAGGCCTCCAAGATGCTCCCAAGAGACGCTCTCCGAGGCACCCAAGACGCTCCAAGAGGCCTCCACTGGGGGACCCTTCCTCTGTGTGCTGCCCACTTCCCTGATCGAGGCAATTCCTCTGGGCATCGTTTCTGGATGGGCTGGTGGGGTTACTTTTTTTGATCTGCGGCTCCAAGGACGGCTCCAGGGAGCGGGTCAACCTCGACTGGGGCGCAATGCGAGACGATTGGCAACGAAGGCACATAGGCCAACGCCGCAAAGCACGTACTGGTGGGGTTACGCGTGGCGTCTAGAATTGCGAAGCCGTCCCTTCGAGTCGCCTCGGAATCCTGGATCGAATCCTGAACATCCACCCGAAGATCTTAAACTGGAAGCTATCTGGGGCTCTGAGCCCAGAAGAGATCCCACGCGGCGTTGGTACCGACCAAATTGGATTTCACGCGGGTGGGGGAGGATAACGAAGTGAGTATCGAGGGTCGAGGGGACAAAGGAAAGAGGAGGATGCGGGGTTGGAGGGGCGACTGCGGAAGAGTAAAGGCGGCGACTGCGACGACAACCAGAGACGAACGACCGAAGACGGCAGAATCGTCACAGGCGGCAAGGCGGCGCAGCTGAAGCCTCACCCGGGCCAACTCAGGCTGGCCTGGATGCTCAAGCCGCAGACTACGCTGCGAGCGCTCGCCGAGCACAGCTGACCTGTGCCAGGGCGCGAGAAGTACGAGAGGCGCCTCGCAGCCACCTCTGGCCGCGCAGACAAGCTGATTAGGCATAAAAGGACCCCGAGCCCTTGGGAGGCGGCCTCAGTTAGGAGGGCCAGAAACATCATGGACAGGGTGTCTTTTCTGCAGATGTGTCGAACCAAACCACCCATATCAAGAATCCCTGATGCAAGTACGGCACCCTCAGTGAGGCCACGTCTTCACTCTGTTATTAGGGTCAGGGTTGTGGATGCCATGATAATGGACACTCTAATGATCCTAGCATTGAATTTAAACTGCTTTTAATATGTCGGAAAATCTTATAAGCGTGCTTTAAGCATGTTCTTACGTGTTTAAACCATGTTTAACACATGTTTTAGACATCTGGAATTTGTTTGGCAACACGCTTCTTCTCCATTGATCGACTTCCACAAGGTTAGGGGCTCCCCACGGCAGGGGGCGCTGCTCGCGCCGAGGGCGCTGCGCCACAGCCGCCCGCGCAGCGACACGCACGCCAAAGAGGCCCGCGGCCGGCGGCACCATCCCGGGCACGGGCCACCGGCGCGCGCCCCGGGGCGCATGCGTCAGCGCCTCCTGCTCCTGCTCCTCTTCCTCCTCCTCCTCCTCCTTCTCCTCCTCCTCCTCCTCCTCCCTCCTGCGTCATCCTGCTCCTGCTTCCTCCTCCTGCTGCATCCGCATGCTCCGCGTCTGCCCTCCCCCCTTGTACCTCCTCTCTCCTCGTCCTTTTCCTCCTCCTCCTCCTCCTCCTCCTCCTCCTCCTTCTCTTCCTTCTCTTCCTTCTCCTCCTCCACGGAATCTGTGTTCGTCAGGGGACTTTGATTCGGGGGGTGCCTGCGCTTCTTCGGGTGTGCTCTCGGCGGGGCGCAGCTGTCCCTGTGGCTGGGGGCGCAACAAACGGGTACCTGAGCGTTGCTTGCGCAGTCTTTATCCTCCCCGTGGGATACCGAGTGCGCAGGGCCATTTAGTTTCGGTGTCGAAGTTGTGTATGCCTGTTTTGTGTGTTCGCCCCTTCCCTTTCAGGGATTCCCGCCTGAGGACCAGGGCACATCGTGGACGGCATCGTCTTTGCGCCCCACCCGGGTGACTGAGCGACTTCTCTTCTCCTTCCTCCCTGGCGAGGACCATCACAGGCCTCAGCCATTCCGGTGGGGACCATCATAGGCCACACCCCCTCGGCAGCTGCCATCATAGGGGCTGCCGGGGGTACTGCTCCCATTATGTGTTGCGCGGCCACACGAACTTCACACAACGCGGCTGCCACCATAGTGCGAGAAAGTTCAACAGCAATGTGAAGGAAACACTCGAAATAGGATGTGCATTAAAATCGCCACACGAGCGCACGCCACAACGCGTGCATCGACTCCGCTCGGCAGAGCCCCTCGGGTCGGGCAAAATGCTGTACGTGGGGACGGGATGCCGCGGGAAACCAACATGCACAAGAGAATCCGAAGGAGCGGGGGGAGGAAGAGGGGGGAAGAGAGGCGGGAGGAACGAGGGGGGGAGGCATGACGCAGGGAACCGAAACAAAAGTCCGGCGATCCAAGCGGTAGTGTACAAGAAAAGCCTAGAAAGGCCCTGAGGAATCCGTGAATCACCACGAAACCTACGCGAACAGGGTGAGGCCACTCGAATGCACAGCGGTGAATAAATGTGCAGATCAGTGATCACATGGAAACTAGCTGGGAGACGGAGGGTGCCGCGCGCGGGCCTGTACCGCAGGCGCAGCAGGCGGACCGCAGCCACGCAGGGCCGGCGGTGGGGCTCACCCGGGCGCCATGGTGGCGCTGCAGAGCCCCCCGCGGCTGGCCATTTTGTGGGCGGCGGGCCGCCACCTCCCAAAGGAGCCCCCCTGCAGGCCTGGACAACGCTGGCTTGCGCCGAGGCCACAAGACGGCGAGGGGAGGGGAGAAGAGGGAGCGGAGGGGAGGCAGAGAGGCAGGGGTAGGAGGGAGAAGGGGAGGACAGGCTGCCTCACTAAGCCAAGCGGCTCGATCCACCACCGCACCTCACAGCGAGAGGCACGCCGCCTCCTTAGCCAGACCTTTCATGATGACCGCGGCCTTCGCGAAGTTCGGAATCCCCATGGCCCGTGCCAGCTCCACCATCTTCTCGCTGCCCTTGGTCAGCTCGGCCGCCACGCATTCCAAAGAGAGGGAGCGGTCCCAGGCCAGCAGAATCATATTGTAGGCAACCCGCTCCAACTTTTCGTCCGCCTTCTCGCAAGTCTTGGACCAAGCCCACGTGAGCGTGGCCGTAGTAGTAGCCAAAGGCCCTTGGACAATCTCGGAACGGCACCAGCGGTGAGGGGAAGAGCAGCCCGGACGTCATGAACGGCGTGTCTGGATTCGTCCTCATCGGCAGGCCCTTGGGGAGCGCGCGCACCTCGAACCACTCTCTCATCTGTTCCTGGGAGAATGGCCCCTGGGTCGCGCCGCGCGCGTCCATGCACTCCCACTGCAGCTCGAGGCCTCCTGACTTCACGTCGTCGTGGGCGTCCTCGGTCTCGGAGCCCTGGCTGTCGAAGCCCTGGCCGTGCTCGTCGGGCTGCACCTCTGGCTCGGGCGGCTCGTCGGGCAGCGTGACGGGCGGGACCACTTGCTCGTCGAGCTGCACCAAATTGTGCTGGTCCGTGAGGGTCGTGAGGATGGCCACGTCCGCGGCACTCTGCTCCGAACCGCCCGGGCCCGTGGTGGTGGGGGAGACGTCCAAGTCCACTGTGCTCTGCTCCGAGCTGCTGGCCACGCAATTGGCAGGGTCCGCCTCCCCGAAGTACTCAAGCTGGTAGGCCGCCACATCGTCCTTATCTATCTTGGTGCCGTCAGCCTCCGCGAAGTGGTGGAGCTTGAGGTCCGTCTGTGTCGCGATGCCAGTCTCCTTGCCGTCAGCTTCAACGGAGTGGTGGAGCTTGAGGTCCGTTTGCGTCGCGATGTCAGTCGCCTTGTCAGGTTCCTTGCCGTTGCCAAGGTTTTTGCTGTCGCACTGGACGTTGGAGTGCACTGTCGTGCAATCGGACGCCTCATCGTCCATTCTGGACACTTTCACCTTACGGCGCCATTGCCGATGGACTGGGCCGAGGCTGTCCCTACGTTCCTCGGCCAACGAAGACGGCCGTAGGGAGGGGTGCCAACGTACCTCCACAACTCAGACCTTCAAGACCTTAAGGCGCCAATTGCCACCATTCACTGTTTTCCTCCTCCTCCTCCTCGTCCTCCTCCTCCACCTCCTCGTTCGCGCACCACCCACATTCATCATCATTCTCGTCCAACTTTTCCTTATCCTCTCTACTCCTGCTGCTCATCCTCCTTTCTCCTCCTCCCCAGGACCTCCCAAAGATGTGCAATCGATGACCCATCCCCTGCTTCGTCCTGCGACACGCCATGCGACGGCTGAGCGGCACAAATGGCGCACTTGGTTCGCGAGACAGGGAGACTCATTGAACGACAAACAGCAGCTTGAGGACGACTAGGACAATGCGGGAGAGCAGAGAGGGACAAGGATGTGGGAGAGGACGAGGGGAAGGAGCCTGAAGATGAGAGGGGGACGAGGACAAGGCGGAGGTGGGTGAGCAATAGCAAATGCAGGAGCGAAGGCTGGGAGAGGGGAAGAAAGATGAGAAGGAGGAGGGCAAGAATGAAGGGAAGGAGGACAATTCTTCACGAGAGAGCGAGAGAAGGTAGAAAGGAGAGAGCGACTTCCACGGCCACTGGCCTGGAAACTATATCTTAGGGAGGTCCCAGAAACAGAGCCCCCTCTCCAACAAATTAAAAAAAACAAAAACTCTTTCGACAGCCCCGAAACCGACACTCCCCGCTCTCCCCCAATCCTCCCCAGCCCAACCCCCCCTCTCCAGAAACCCAGCGAGCCCGAACTCCCCCACGTTCCAAAGGGGGTGATTCTGACCCCCCCACCAAACCCAAACGCATTGCTCGCAAACGACGACAGCGACAACCAGCGCCTGAAGAAGAACATCGACGACGGCCGACGGACGACGGACGACGGCGACGGCGACGACAACGCTCATAACGAACAACGAACGACGACGAGAACGACGGGCGACAACGACGACCGACGACATACGACAGCGACGACGGACTCTGGACGATGGACGACCGACCGATGACCGACGACCGACGACCGACGACGACGAACGACGAACGACGGACGACAACAAAACCGACGACGACGACGGACGACGGACGACGAGGGCAACGGCGGCAACAGACGCGGGAGGATGAACGACTGACGACGACAACGACGACGACGACGACGACAACAACGACGACGACGACGCCGACGACGACGACGGACGACGGACGACGGACGACGGACGACGGACGACGGACCACGGACCACGGACGACGACGCGGGCGGGCGGGCGGGCGAGCGAGCGGGACGGCGGGCGTTCGGGTCGTCTGGCGGGCGGGCACTGACTGGCGGGCCGTGTCGGGCGGGCAGGACCCCGGCGGGAGGGTCGGGTCGGCTGGCCGGTGCTCGCGTACGATGCCACGGTGGAGCTGGCACGCGAGAGCGCCGACGGGCGGGTCGGGTCCGGGCCGGTGGGCCCCGACGGGCGGGTCCGGCCGGTCGGGCGGGACACGCAGGCGTCATCGCGGTCGCCATATTCGTGGACGGTCGTCGCCGTCGACATCGTCGTCATTGAGTCGACGTCGTCGTCGCCTGCCAGCCGAAGCCGGTCGCCCGTCGTTCGGCGTTCGTCGTCGTCGATTTCGGTCGTTGGTCGGGCGTCGGTCGGTCGCCCATCGTCGTCATGGTCGTCGTCGTCGTCATCGTCGTCATCGTCGTCGTCCTCCTCGTCCGTCGTCGTCGTCGTCGTCGTCGTCGTCGTCGTCGTGGTCGTCACGTCATCAGTCGACAATCGTCCGTCGTTGTTGTCGTCGTCATTATCGTTCCGCCGTCGTCGTCATCGTCCTCGGTCGTTGGTCGTCGTCGTCGGTCGTTGATCGTCGGTGTCGCCGTCGTCGTCGCTCGTCGTCCGTCGTCCGTCGTCCGTCGGCCACCGGCCGTCGTCGCCGTCGCCGACGTCGTTCGTCGTTCGTCGTCCGTCGTCGTCGTTCGTACCTGGACTCGTCGTCGTCGTCGTTAAATCATCCGACGTCAGTCGACCGTCGTCCGTCGTCGTCGATCACCGGCCGTCGTTGTCGGTCGTCGTCGTCGTTGTTATTGTTGGCCATAGTCCCTCGTCCGTCGTTCCTTATTCTCGTTGTCGTCATCAGTCATCGGCCGCTTGTCGTCATCGTCGGTCGTCGGCCCCCATCGTTGTGATTATCCTCGTCTTCGTCGTCGGTCGTCGTCGTCGTGTTGTCCGTCGCCCGTCGCACGTCGTCCGTCGCCGTCGTCGCCCGTCGTCGTCGTCGTCGTCGTCGTCGTCGTCGTCGTCGTCGTCGGTCGGTCGGTCGGTCGGTGTCGTCGTCGTCGTCGTCAGTCGTTGCCGCCGTCGTCGTCCGTCCTTTGTCGTTGTCGATTTCGGTCGTTCGTCGTTGTTGTCGTCGTCGTCGTTGTCTGTCGTTCGTCCTTCGTCGTCGGGCGGGCGGACCCTAACAGGCGGGTCGGATCGGGCAAGCAGGACAAGAAAAGACGATGCGTACTCCAATTGGCACGTGAGAGCCCGAAAAAGCTGGTCGGGTCAGGCGGTCTTTAACGGGCGGGTCGGGTCCGGCGGACAGGACATTAACGCACGATGCGTGCTCGAATTGGCACGTAAGAACCCTAACGGGCGGGTCGGGTCGGGCGGGTGGATCCTAACGGGCGGGTCGGGTCGGGCGGGACATTCAAGTCATCGTCGTCGCCGTCTTCGTCGGCGGTCGTCCCCGTCGTCGTCGTTGTCGTCGTCGTCGGGCGCCGGTGCTCGCCGTCATCGTTTGCTGGCAAGGATGGGTGGATATCCACCCCTCGGGGAGGTAAGGGGGGGAGTTCCACCACCCTCAGGTAATTCAGGTTAAGTCGGGTGTGTCCCCCTACAGGGGGATTTTGGACGAAAAAATAAAAATAGTCAAAAAATATTCCGAACTGGTAAAAAATACTCAAAAAATAGTCACCAGACTATTTTTTTGACTATTTTTGAATGTTCCCCCTGTAGAGTGACAGGCCCGACTTAAGATTAAGGAGAACGTTCTGGGCCCCCACCCCCTTCAGGTCGTCGGGGGGATTTCCACCCATCCGAGAGGGACTTCTAACCCCCGTCAGGGAAGGGGGGGGGGTTCCACCCCCCTTAGGTAAGGGAGGAGTTCCGGACCCCCGCCCCCTGCGGAGAAGGGGCGGATTCTGACCCCCCTTTCCCTTCTGCACCAGGGGGGGCATTCTTTGCGCCAGGGTGGGGGGCGGGTTGCACCCCCCCTGGCCACTGCGCACAGAAGGCGCCCTTTCGTAAGTGAATATCTATCTCTACATATATCTATCTATCTATCTATCTATCTATCTATCTATCTATATATCTATCTATCTATCTATCTATCTATCTATCTATCTATCTATCGATGTACATATGTGCATGCACAAAACATGAAAAAAAGACAGACAGACAGACAGACATACAGACAGGACAGTACAGGACATGACAGGACAGACAGAGAGGCGGAGAGAGAGAGAGAAAGAGAGAAAGAGAACAACAAAAACAAAAACTGCGGCAGGATCAGTGAGCATCGAATCGTGAAATCGGATCGAACCGACTTATGCGTCGGATCGGGCTGCATCGGCAAGGACTCGAAATCAAGATCGGATCGGCCGCGCCAGGATGCACAACAACGCCATGCAAACATCGGGCCGCATCGGATCGTCGGAATGTCGGAACCTAATAATCGGATCGGGCCGGCCGAAAAATCGGCATCGAACCAGATCGAGCGGATCGACCCTGCGGCGCGTGCGGGGAGGAGGGGGGAGCGACCGACTGTAGGGGAGAAGGCTTCTTAGAAGCACCCTGCTTCTTCGAAGGCCCCAGCCTTACATCTATAGATTAGGCCAGCGCCTTCTGAGAAGCAGGGGTGCTTCTGAGAAGCAAGCCTTCCCCCCTCCCTCCCCCTATCCCCCTCTGCGCTTGTGGATGCCACAACAATGGACATCCTAACCGTCCTATCCTTGAATTAAGAATATGTTTTAAGTGTTGGAAGATGTCCCGAAAATGTTCAAAACATGTTTTTTGTTTCATGTTTAAACATGTTTACTACATGTTTTAGACATCTGACAATCATGTGGCAACATGCTTCCTCTCCATTGATCGTCCTCCACGGCTCTGCGCATGGCCGAGGGAGGGGGGGAGCGACCGTCTGCGGCTCGTCCGCCCGCTGCGCCGCGGGGTTCTCCATCTTCCACTCCGCCGCGGTCATCGGCTTCGGCCCGTCGCCTCTCCCGGGGGCCACTGCGCCGGGGAAGGCCGCGGGTCCCAGGGAACCAACGACGCGGCAGAGAGATCGCCAGCCACGCGTCGTGCCATGCCATCGATGGTCTGGATACCACTCGACCTCGAACTCGAGCTCTGAACCATCAGGCTCCTCATCTCCCCCCTCCTCCTTCTTCTCCTTCTCCTCCTCCTCCTCCTCCTCCAATATCGTCTTTCCTCCCATCATTCGTTTGGTCATATATTTACTGCCGCCAGTGCGCGGCGTATAGCTGCACGAATGTAGCAAACCACCAAAAAGCGTGTCACTACGAAACCTCTTCCGATAGCTTTCGAAGCCGGCAGCAGCGCCTTCTGGCGGGCTGTGACCCACGTGCTGGTGCTGTGATCGGAACGGTGACCATCTCCACGCTGGAAATCTGTTATTGAATGACTCCTGGAGAGCCCCGTGGCGGTATATACCCTGGCTGGGATCCCACGTGCCTGTGTTACCCCTGTGAGCACAGCACGTTCAACAGAGCGAGTCTAGGAATTCCAGTGGTGCTCTCAGTGGTCTTGTCCCTTGTAGAGCAAGCCTTTGCTACCCTGGTTCCCCCTCTCTACGCCTCACCATGCTCCTCCTCCTGATCCTTCGCCTCCGCCTTCTCCTCCTCCTCCTCCTCCTCTTCTTGCCGCTCCGCATCATCATCCTTATCGCCGCCGTCGTCGTCGTCGTCGCCATCATCACCACAGCCACAATAACCATCATCACCACCACCATCACCATCACCACCAACAACATCACCATCACCATCACCATAGCAATCACCATCACCATCGTCACCGTCATCGCTACCGTTTTCGTGCTCGTCATCACTGGCATCATCAACAGCATCATCAGTATCACCACCACAGCCACCACAATCATCATCATCATCATCACCATCACCATCACCATCACCATCACCATCATCATCATCATCATCATCATCATCATCATCATCATCATCATCCTCATCATCATCATCATCATAATCATCATCATCGTCGTCGTAGGCGTCATCTTCATCGTCATCGTCATCATCATCATCGTCATCGTCATCGTCATCATCACCATCACCATCACCATCATCATCATCATCATCATCGTCAACTTGATCAGATCAAATCGTCATCATCATCACCATCACCATCATCATCACCATCATCATCAGCATCGTCATCATCATCATCATCATCATCGTCATCATCATCATCATCATCATCTTCATCGTCGTCATCAGCATCATCATCATCACAATCATCATGACGATTATCGTCACCATGATCGTCATACGCACCATCAACATCATCAACACCATCATAAGTATTGCAATCGTAATCATTATCATAGCTGCCACGGTGCCCCCGTCCCCAAGACGGCGCAAGAGGGCACCAAGGCGGGCCAAGACGGCCCAAGAGGCGCCCAAGACGGTCCAAGAGGGCCGCAAGACGGCCCAACAAAGGGAACACGAACGGAACATCCGAGCCTTCCGCACCAAGATGTCCCCAGGAGGCCCCAAATAGCCCAAAGAGGCCTCAAAGAGGCCCCCCATGAGGCCCCCGAGAGCGCTCCGAAGAGACCCCAAGAGGACTCTGATCCACAACCCATTCACGGTGGAGGGATGTGCCGAAGGTGGAGGGATGGGCCGAAGGCCGTTAGGTAATCATCATAACACCGTCACTGAGATCATCATCAGCACCACCACCCTCCTCCTCCTCCTCGTCATTATCACCAGCATCAGCATCATCATCAGTATCAGTATCATCACCACCTCCACCACCATCACCATCATCACCACAAGCGTAAGCATTATCATCAGTAGCAACAACGTCAGCATCATCATCACCATCATCAGCAGCATCACTATCACTATCATCATCACCACCAACAACACCACCAGCACCATCACCACCACCATCATCATCATCATCATCATTAGCAGCAGCAGCATCGTCATCACCATCATCACCTTCACCATCCCCATCATCAGACTCATGCAACATGATCGTCATACGCATCACAACCATTATCACTACCATCACCATCACCGCCATCACCGTCACCACAATCGCAATCACCATCACCAACATCATCGCCCTCACCATCACCATCACCATCACCATCACCATCACCATCATCATCATCATCATCATCATCATCATCATCATCACCAGCTTGATCATATCAAATCTTCATCATCATCAGCACCATCAGCATCATCATCACCATCATCAGCATCGTCATCATCATCATCACCATCACCAATCACCGTCACCATCACCACCACCATCACCATCACCATCACCATCGTCATCACCATCACCATCAGTATCAGCATCAGCATCATCGCCATAACCATTGTCATCGTCCCCCTCACCATCATCATCATCCCATCATAATCGTCCCCACCGTCACCATAGTCATCACCATCACCATCACCATTATCATCATCACCACCACCATCATCATCAACATCATCCTCATCCTCAGCATATTCATCATGCTCATCATCACAATCGTCACAACCATCATCACCACCACCATTCATCACCATCACCATCAACATCACAATCATCATCATTATCATCATCATCACTATCGTCACCATCATCATCATCATAATCACCATGAGCATGAAAATCATCATCATACTCATCATCACCATCATCATCACGATCATCACCATCAGCATCACCATCAACGTCACCAACATCATCATCATCATCTCCACCACCATCACCTTTACCATCAGCATCATCATCCTCATCATCATCACCATCACCGTCATCATCATCATCATCATGATCATCATCACCATTATCATTATAATGATCACCACCATAAGCATCACCATCGTCATCACGATCATCACCATCAGCATCACCAGCATCATCATCATCACTACCACCATCACCATCACCATCATCAGCAGCAGTATCATCATCCTCATCCTCGTCCTTATCCTCATGCTCATCCTGATCCAAACCCCCATCATCGTAATAATCACAATCATCATGATCATCAAACATCACCATCATCATCACAATCATCATCATAATCATGATCATCCTCGTCATCGGCATCTTCATCATGATAGGCATCACCATCACCGCGACCATCACCATCATCACCACCACCATCACCAGCACAATCACCACCAGCACCATCACCACCACCACCAGTACCATCACCGTCACCATTACCATCACCGCCACCATCGTCATCATCTTCGTCATCATCATCATAATCATCACAACAACCATCACAACAACCATCACCAGTATCATCATCATCCTCATCATCAGCATCAGCATGCATCATCATCATCATCAGCATCACCACTATCATCATCAACAGCATCATCATTATCGCCATTACCATAATCATAGTCATCAGCATCAGCATCAGCATCAGCAGCAGCATCATCATCATCATCATTACAATCAACATCACGATCACGATCATCATCATCATCATCATCATCATCATCATCATCATCATCGTCATCATCATCGTCATCATCACCACCACCACCATCACCATCATCGACGCTGTCCTCGTCCTCGTCTGCGCCGTACCTCGCCCTCCTCCTCCTTCTCCTGGCAGCATCGGCTCTGGGGCCTCCGCCCTCCTGGTCCCGCTCGATGGTGGCGCGGGCCTGGATCAGCAACTGCGCGGGGGGGGGCTCGGCGGATCAGGCGGGCAGAGGCCTGGCAGGCCTGGCGAGGGGCGGTCCTCAGGCGAGGGTGAGTTAAAGGGGAGGGGAGTTGAAGGGGAGGGGAGCTGGAGGGGG